TTCTTTTCTCTGTCTGTAAGATTTTGTTCTTCTGTTGGGTTTCTGGAATCTTGACTATTATATGTCTATGTGTAGATTTTGTTTTTGATTATTGTTTGTTGGAGTTCTATATGCCTCACTTATCTGTAAGTTCAATTTTCCACCTCTGTCTGGGAAGTTTTCTATTATTACTTCTGTAAAGAGTTTTTTAATGTCAATTGTACTTTCTTCTGTTTTTTTGTGGACTCCTATCAGTCTTATGTTATTCTTGTTTGCATCATCTAGCAGCTGCTGGATTGATTTCTTGCGGTCCCTTTCTATTTTGAAGCAATCTCTGTTTTCATGGTCCTTCACTGCAATCCTGTCTTCTATATCTGATACTCTATCTTCAAATTCCCTTAATCTGCTCTGCATGCTTTCATTGGAGTTTTTAATCTCCTGAATATCTGTTTGAATCTGTTTCATGGATTCCATCTCTTTCTTATGTTGGGCAATCATGGTTTCCATATCTTTCTTATGCTGGGCATTCATGGCTTCCAGCATGTTTCTTAGCTCATCTATTTTTTTTTATCTGTTTGTGTTCTAGAGCCTCTAATCATGTCTTTCACTCTGCTCACCATCTCTGTAGTTATCTGGGAGATTATTTCTATTTTGTATTTTTCTAGAGCCTCATTCATCTGTTTTGTTACTTCTTGTGCTATCAGTTCAGGGTGTCCAGGTGGTTGGTTATCAGACTTTTTTTTCATCTCATTTCCCCCAAGGTTTCCCCTTGGTGGGGTGGAAGTCTGAGTTTGTGCCTTGCTTCAATGTCTTCTCATTTTTGTTTTTGGTACTGTCCTTGGTTTAGTTCCTGGGTTGATGTTTTGAAGTTGCTTATTGTAAGTACCTTTGTTGATGTATTTAGAACACTTATAGAATGATTGCTTCTCAGAGGTGTCTTCCAGATATTGCTGGTCTTTAGGTTTTGAGTGTCTAATGGCACTGAGGCTATCTCATTTTCATTATACAAGGAAGGACAACTAATTAGATCAATCACAGCACCTTAGCCCAAGTGATACAATCAGCAACACAATAGCAACAAGTACATCTTAGAAAATGCCAATTTGTGGTAGTTATTAATCTATCCCCTTTAACTGTGTGAATTAAATCAAAATCAAGGACCAAGCCAACATATGTTTATAGTGAATAAACTCTTCAATATACTAACTTGACCCTTCAGGATGGGAGTTAGAAGGAGTTGGGGAGGGAGGAATAGGTAAGTAGAAGGATAGGGGAAGGTTAGCAGTGAGGCCAGAGGACACAGGTGAGAGAAGGAAAGGGAAGAAAAGAAAAATAAAGAAGAAATATGAATTAGGGCCAGAACAGGAACACAAGGGGAGATGAAGAACAATGTGG